GCTTAACCACCAAAGCCCAGTGTTGTGGTATAATTAGGAGCCAGGAAACACTCTGGAGCACCTGCCCGTGACTTAGCAGCACCGCTGAGGAGTTCAGGGGTATTTTTAGGGAGTGGCATTAAGAATAAACCCACCTGGCTGATCCGTAGGTTGGTTGTTTCCTTAGCCAACAACTGGTGTCCTGTACAAAGAAGATAATTACATCATCATGACCACTGTGGATAAGGAAAAGTACAAGTGTCTCCTGCCCCTGATAGCCAGTGGCAATGAGGTGAGTTCGGGCAAGTTGTTTTGTACTTACAAAATGTAGATGAGTCTTTACCATGTTATTTGTTTTATGTCTTCAAATAACTTTCTGTTCTAGGAAGAAGAAAAGGACTATAAAGGTCCCACTCCAGGAGAACTGCTGGAGCCTCTCTTTAAGCAAAGTAGCTGTTCCTATAGAGTATGTTGCTTCTCTGTTGTTAATTAAATGCTAATTAAAAGGTTATAATCCAGTGCAGGTCAAGGTTTAGGGTAGTAAATCACTTACTAATTCAGAGATCATGCCTTAATACTGCAGATAAAATTCTGTGTAACTTAAGATGTTAGGATTCAGATCCATTGGGTTGCTATGGCAGCAACTGAGAAAATGAGGATTTCAATTACAATTGTATTTATTTATTTATTATCCCTTTGTTTTATCTATGTTAAAGTCAAGGAAGCTTTACCTGGTGTGTTTATTTGGAACATAACCAAAATGTTTGAGGATCACTGAGGTTACTCAGTGTGCTCTTGGTTTTGAGGGTGCCCCAGCCCACCTGCTCATGCAGGTCAAAAAGGCTAAAATTTGAGGGGGTTTTTTGGTGTGTAAATATATCCAAACATCATTTTAAAATGTGTTTTCTTTTTAAGATTGAATCTTATTGGACTTACGAGGTCTGTCATGGAAAACACATCCGTCAGTACCACGAGGAGAAGGAGACAGGGCAGGTAGGCTGCTCACAACCCCCTTCTCCACTGGCATGTTCCTGCTG